CAGCACCAAGATCAACTTGGTCCATGCGCTTGTCTTTTCTGTGTTTGATTATGCGGCCGAAACGTGGACACTACGCGCGACTGACCACCGTCGGGTAGACGCATTCGAAATGTGGTGCTGGAGGAGAATGCTCAGGATACCCTGGACGGCGCGGAGGACCAACATGTCCATCCTCGCTGAGATAAATTCTAGGCAACGGCTGTCGAGTCTGGTATACTCCCGCATATTGAAATTTTTCGGGCACATCACAAGAAGCGACAATATGAAGAAGCTAATTGTGCAGGGTAAGCCGGATGGGAAGCGAAGAAGAGGGAGGTCTCCCTGCCGTTGGACGGACGCCATCGGGCAGCTTCTCCACGCTGATATGGAGACCGCTGTACGAGGTGCAGCTATCAGGTCACGAAGGCGGGATACTGTTAGGCGGGCGACCGCCGTGCTTGATGGTGGGATCCATTAAAGTGTCGTTCCAAACATGTCACCACACGTCTGTCAAGATGTTGGATTTAGGAGGAGGAACATAGAGAATTTACAAGAATAACATTAAATATAATAAATAAATATTTAATCAATAAATACATATTTAATAAATTTCAAAAATAGGAGACAATAGTTCTATATTATAACTATTATTACATTTAATGTTATAGCGATTCTCTATATAATACGAATATAAATACACATATGTATATTTGTAAAAAGTAAAAGGTTTTATATATATATATATATATAATCAGCTGTTTTATAATGAATCAATTGTACGATGAAACAAAGTTATTTATCTGGTTATAATATTTACAGTCCTTGAATCTGAATCCTTTAAACAAAATTGGACAATTCGTTGAATCTAAGATCAGTTTTTAGCTTTCTTCCTATTTTTATCCGACACTGTATATTTGTAACTTTTTGTTGGATCAAAAGGTTCCCATCTACTCGCTGGAAAAATGTGTTTGTTCTTCTCGTACCATGATCTAATGAGAAAAATAAAAAAATAACATAAAAAAGAATTATGCAAAATATTCTTTTAATAATAAATACCTAAGTAAAACTTTTCCGACATGTGATTCCTCGGTTTTGACAGAAGCATCGTGCATAATACGAATATCATCGTGAACGTCAAATGTGAACAGAGGCCCGCTCTTTCCTCGTGTCTAATCGCAATATTACATACATTAAAATAACATGCCAACATTGTGATATTGCTTCATAAGTTTTATCATTTGGTATATTTACCTTAGTTACAATAAAATCAGTTACAGTTGCAGTAAAACGTATAATGGTGCGGTAATATAAGATTCTCCTTGACATACATTAACTGATCTGCCATTACTGTTTTAAGCTCGCTGAATTC